GGGGCCGCGAGCCCGACGACCTGCGACGAGAGAGCAATGTCGCGGAGGCTGCTGTCGGGCGGCGGCGACGGCATCGCGAGCGGCTGCTGCGGCGGCGCTGGCGGCAGAAACGGGTTGACACCGCTGAGCGCGATCGCTGGTTGGTTCATCTTGGCCTCGGTCTCGAGCGCGAGCTCAAACTCGACCGCGTGGTCGGCGAGAAAGGCCTGGATCGGGGCTTGGACAAACGGGAAGCGGCAAATGTCTTCGATCGAAGGGCGCTTGTTCGGGTCTTGCTGCAGCATGAGCTGGATGAGGAGGCGGAGCTCCTTGGAAAAGAAAGGCGGCAGCGGCGGGTAGTCGCCGAGGCAGATCTTGTTGAACATCTCGGCGAGCGTCATGGCTTCAAACGGCCGCGCGAGCATCGCCATCTCGTAGAGGACGCAGCCGAGCGACCAAATGTCCGACTTTTTCCCGTAGCGCTCGCCGCGGCAGATCTCGGGCGACATGCTCTCGGGTGTCCCGACCGACGTCATGGCCGTGTCGTCGCCCGCGAGCGCCTTGGAAATGCCAAAGTCGCCCAGTTTGACCACGTGCTTGCGCGTCAAGAAGACGTTTTGCGCCTTGAGATCGCGATGCAAGACGTTCTTGCCGTGGATGTACGAGACGGCGAGCACGAGCTGCGCAAACCACGACATGATGAGCGGCTCGGGGAAGTACCCCGCGTTCGCCTTCGTGCGGAGCTTGGCGACTTGGCGGAGGTTGCCGCCGTCGCAGAATTCCATGACGATGTTGAGCTCGTCGTTCTGGAGCACAAAGCTGTCGTAGAAGCGGACAATGTTGACGTGGTAGAGCGACTTGAGCAAGATGACTTCGTTGTCGGCCTGCTTGCGGCTGCTTTCGCTCGCCGCCGACAGAGGCACGCGCTTGACGGCGACGATCGCGCCGTCGTGCTTGCGTCGGGCCATGACCACCGTGCCATGCGTGCCCTTTCCGATCGTGCGGAGCACCTCCATGTCGCGCCATACGCTCTGCGTTGCGGCCGTGTTGAGGCGCAGCCCTTCCATGTGGTTCTGCCGTGCGAGCCATACGTGGCGCACGAGCGTCTTGGCTGTGTTGTACTGGATCGGCTTGATGAGGTAGTCTTTTGCGCCTTTCGAGAGGCACGACGTGACGACGTCCATCTCTTCGTTGGACGAGGTCATGACGATGGGAATGTGGGCGAGGTTGTCCTCCTTGGCGACGCACTCGAGCAGCTGGATGCCCGTGAGTACCGGCAGCATGACGTCGCAGAGCACGAGGTCAAAGCCCATGGGCGCGCTGACCATGGCCGTGAGCGCGTCGCCGCCGTTCTCGACGGCCGTCACGCGGTAGCCGATGCTCATGAGGATGTCGATCGTCGCCATGCGCGTGAACTCATCGTCCTCGACGACGAGGACGTGGACTTCAGACGGATTCATTCCGTCGGTCGCGTGCGAAGCAAGAGAGATGCAAAGTTGCGTCGGGCCCAACAGCCATTTCCTACTCTGCGCGTTGATTGGCCAAATGGCTGCGAATCCGGACTGACGCCATCGGCGCTTGTTCCTCTTCTCAGTGCGATCTCGACACTGGTATCCGGACCCGTCCACGGCGCGAATTTATGTTCACGGAAAGGCCCAAGTCCGAGTACTGTGTAGTAGTAGCACAGCAGGTAAGAGCAGCTGCACCAAGGTCCCTTGCGATCTGTCGTACCAAGGGCGTCATTGCCACACGACGAGCTCGTAGCTGCCGCACATCAGCACGTTGGGATGGATCCTCTTGGGTTGCAATGCTTGACGCCAGCACGCGCGCTGGCCATCGCGTGCGACCTTGGGTGCCATAGAGGCAGCCTTTCTTCCGGGCTTTGACACGCTTCTGCACGTTGCAGCTGGGGAAGACGAGGGAGCATCGAAGATTGCTGAAATTCCATGGTTTCTTATTTAACATTGCGAGCGCTGGAAAACGTTTAGACTGACTCATTGTATCGGAAAGAGGCTTAAGTAACGTCACGTGCAGACAGGCCGTATCCCACGCGTGTCTAACGCACCATTTTTCGAAGCGCCGCGGCCCAAGGATGGCCAGCATGGACAGCGCGACGCAGCAGTCGGGTACCGCCGCCGCTATCCTCTGCCTTGGCGTGCACGCGATCGTCTTCTGGCTCCTCCGCGTGATGGCGCTGACCTCGCACATCCTCGCTGTCGCCTTTGCCGCTGTCAGTACGTCGCCTCTGCCATGCGAGGACCGCGTGCCTGATAGCTTCGTCCGTAGGTCTACCGCTCTGCTTGAAGCTCACGTACGACGTTGTGGCCATTTGCATGGACGACGAGCCGCCGTCATCGGCGCGGGGCGAGCGCCAGCAACTCCTCTTGTCCCGCGCCCACCTTCAGCTGCTTCTCACGGACCGCGACTTCGACTCGAACGGTAGTATTCCGCTTGCCGCCAATGTTGGCGTGCGACTCACCGCGACCCAAACAGATTACGAGCAGCTGCTGCAGCTCGATGAGCACAACGTTGCGAAATCCCATGGCGCCAGCGAAGGCGACATTGACCGGCTGCCCGTCGTGACCGTGACGTACGTCGATCAACCCTGGCGCACGCGCCTGAGACGTGGTGCGTAGGGAGACGATGCTGCAGGGCCACAAAGAGGCCACGGGCTCGGACGCCATCCAATGTTCCATCTGCCTCGAGGACCTCGCGGTCGGCGCCCTAGCGCGCATGGTCCCATGCTTCCATCGCTTCCACCCCGAGTGCATTGACCTGTGGCTTTTTGAGAAGGCCGAGTGCCCGATTTGCAAATTCCCCGCCATCGGCTAAGCGTGCGCTCTGTATTTAATAATTGTTGTGAAAAATGTACAGCTCCCTATTTCCTCTACAAAGAAGGACGAATGACAAGTTGTACACACGATCCGAGTACCCGCGACAGGTTGTCCACATTCAACTTCAAGTATCTTTTGACCTCCAACAATTGATCCAATCCGAGGGTCGCTCGCACTTTGAGGTCTGATTACCTCTGTAACTCGATAGTATTCGCCACGACCAAACCTGATGTCCAGTATTCGGGCGATGTGGATAGCGCCCGACGCCACGACGCCGCAAGGACGCAGCAAGGAAGAGAGGAGGCCGGCGACCGATCCGCCAAGGAGGTTGATCGCCCGCGTGCCACCGATAGACGCGGGTGGCGACGAGGGCGAGGACCCGAAGGCGCTGGTGTCGCTCCTCGAGCGCGTGCTGCAAAAGATCTCGTCGATCCCTGGAGCACTCGAAGCCATCTCGTCGGACCCGTCGCTCTTGCGCGAGCTGCAGCAACACGAGCTGCTCTTCTACCCGAGCAGCACGCCGACGCGGACGTCGCTGTCTGCGCTCGACAGCAGCGCAGTCGAGTTGCAGTCGAGCCAACAAGAGCTTATTGGCGACGACGACGATGGCGACGACTTTCCTGTCACCTTCGTGCCACCCCAGCACACGCCAGCTTCGTCGTCAAGCGTCGCGATCCCTGCAATGACGCTGCTGCCACCGCCGCCCATGTCGGCGTCACTCGCGTCCAACTCGCCAAGCTTCTCGATGGGTATGCTCAGCATGTCGCCAGGTACCTACTCACAGGACGGCGAGCCCGTCTCTGCGCTCTGGCCACGCCAGCCCAACGAGTTTGCCTTCACGCAAGAGGACGAGAGCAAGGAAGATGATCTTTACAATGAAGTGCTTTGCTCGGACGACGACGACGACGACGACGCGAACAAGGTGTTTGAAATGGACATGGAAGACGATGCGCCGTTTCGAAGCGAACCCGCCGCCGTCCTGCGCGACGAAGACACGCTGCAAGACGACGATGACGACGATGACGACGACGGCGACGACGCCGAGATCCAGTACGAGACCATGCGCCTCCGCATCGTGCGGGAGAAGAACAAGACGGGCTTTGAGCCGAGCCAAGAGTGGGAGGCCCACGCCGGCGTGCTGCTCGGCGGTCAATACAGCGTGCGTCGCACCTGCTTCTTGACGTCATTTGATGCCTGCACGTAGATCCATGGGCTCATTGGCGAGGCGGTCTTTAGCCAAACGTACAAGGCGACCGACACGCGCACGGGCCAGCTCGTGTGCCTCAAGGTCATCAAGAACAACAAGGAATACTTTGACCAAGGCCTCGACGAGATCCGCGTCCTCGAGCACATGCGCAACAGCGTCGACGACATGGACTCTGTCCACATTGTGCGGCTCCTCGACTACTTTTACTACAAGGAGCACCTGATCTTGGTCACCGAGGTACACTACCTCTACGTACCTTGATACGTTGATACTACATCCGTTCGATGGCGTAGCTTTTGCGCGACAACTTGTACGAATTTTCGCGTCTCGTTCGTACGCAGCCCGCGGCGTCGGCGCTCAGCGCGTACTTTACGCTGCCGCGGCTCAAGAAGATTGCGATCGAGTGTCTCGAAGCGCTGGCGTTTCTCCACCGCCTCCACATTGTGCACTGCGACCTCAAGCCTGAAAACATCGTCATGAAGAGCTTCCAAAAGTGCGAAATCAAGCTCATCGACTTTGGCTCGGCATCTTTTGTCTCGGACGAGCTCACGTTCTACGTCCAGTCGCGCTCGTACCGCGCGCCCGAGGTAGTACGCTCTTTACTCGATATGCTTCGTCACGCGATGCTGGCTCCGTGTAGGTGATTCTGGGCCGCCGCTACGATGAAAAGGTGGATGTGTGGTGCATCCTCGCCGAGCTCTACACGGGCCACGTGCTCTTCGCCAACGACTCGGTGCCGTCGCTCCTCGGGCGCATGATAAGCATCCTCGGCGCGTTTCCGACCGCGATGCTGCGGTCGTCGCCGGACGTCGCCAAGTATTTCGACGCCGACTTTGTCTTGCGGTCGCCCGTGCCGCCAAAGACGTCGCTGTGGCACGCGCTCCACTGCGCCGACCACCTCTTCATCGACTTTTTGCAGTCGCTTTTGACGGTCAACCCGAGTTTGCGCGTGACGGCGGCCGTCGCGATCGAGCATCCGTGGCTCCAAACCAACGTGTTTGGCCGGCACTGAGAGTCCAAATAGATAGTACTACACTACATTGCTTTGGTGTTGCGACTGTTTCTTAGTTCTTGACGTCGGTAATCGGCGGGAACGGCGTCACCTTGGAGAGCACGAGCACCTTGAGGCGGTGCGAGATGTAACCCTTGATGTAGTTTTTGAAAATGAGGTTGGCGAGAAGACACTCGAGCGCGTCCATGTCGATCTCCGACATGTTGAGGTACGCGATCGCATTCTGGAGGTCGCGCAGCTTGACGTGGTTGTGCTTGTCGCGGACAAGGTACACCTTCTTGAAGAGGTTGCGCATGACAAAGGGCTTGAGCTTCTCCATGAGGAGGTACACGCCTCGCTGGATAAACTTGTCTTGGTATTGCGCCATGGACTAGACACCGCATCATTCCATCCTGCTCTTCCTTGTTGGCATCATTGTCGATTTTACCTGGTTGAAGAGGTACACGTTGCCCACGCGAATCGACTCGGCAATGCCCTTGTACTCGTCGAGCGCGTAATCGTCGAGGAGCTGCGGCGACGGCATGGTGCCGGAGCTGAGCTTGATGGGCACGAGGAATTGCAGAATCATGCTACGTCGTCGACGCGTGAGCTGCCGAATCTGAGCGGAGAGCTTCCTACCGCTTGTTGCGGCTGTACTGCTTGTGGCAGTGCTGCCACGCGTACATGAGGCACGTCTCGGCCTTGCTGTAGTTGTCCTCAAACATGTTGATGCGGCCGACGTAAAACATGTACGTGACTTGGTCGCGCTTCTCGAACCGGTTGAAATCCATGAGGTCGATCGCGCGGATGAGGTTGCGGCAGAGCGGGATCGTGTTGAGCTGAAAGTAGATCTTGAAGAGCTGGTTCACGACATAGAGCGTGCCCGGCTTCTTGCTCAGCTCGGGCGACGCGCGGTCATTGCTCGACATGGAGAACGCGCGCTTGATGTTTTGCTCGGCGTTTCTCTACAAGGTACTCGCCATGCTACAGAACCTGCAGTCGTCGGCTCGTACCAGCGTGTCCTGGACTGGATTGCCGCGTTCGGCCGAGATCTCGAGGTCCGCTTTCTGCGCGAGCATGCGCGCGTCGTACACGAGCGTGTGGAGCACTGGCATGATCCAGTTGGTCTCTTCGCGGTAAATGTCGAGGAAGTCCCTACAGATATATAGCGCATGTATGCGACCAAGGTCCAGGAAGAGCGCCAACGTACGTATAGCCAGCAATGTGCTCGTCGTACGCTTGCTGGAACCGGCCGTTCTGCGCATGGCGCTTGGACTTGAAGAGCGCGGCAACGACCTTGGCGAACGCCTGCAAGCCGCCAGTGAAGGCCGCCTGGCACTGGCCCGTGAGCGCGACGTCCGTCTCGTTGACGGTCACGTCGAACGACGCCGAGAGGATCTGCGCCAGGCGGTCGCTCTGCTTGCGCTGGAGGCAGCCCGCGATCTCCTTGATGACGGCTGCGCTCATGCTTTGTGTGGTGCTTGGTACGCCGAGTTACACTATTCCAGTGCATTTTCCATGACCGGAACTGGTGTGGAAGTCTAACCGCACGCAATTTAACAGACGATGGAGGCGGACCCGAGGAGCAAGAAACATACGCATAATGGCGTGTTTTTAGATGCATGGCATCAACAGCATGGTCGACGACCCGGACCTCTGCTGCATCTACGACGACGACGGCGTCAGGTCGCTCATCCAGTACGTGGACGCAGCCGACTTCTCGGGCCTCGCACCCGTGACGCAAGTCTACGGGCTAGCGCTGACGCGCGACGGCAAGGTGCTCCTCGGCGTCGACATGCGAGGCCGCTGCACGCTGCTCGGCGGGACTGTCGAAGCCGGTGAGTCCTTTGCCGAGTGCCTCAAGCGAGAGATGCTTGAAGAGGCCAACTACCGCGTGCTGTGCATGGCGCCCATCGGGTACCAGCGCATTGACTGCGGCGACAACGTAAGCTACCAGGTGCGCTACGCCTGTCTCGTCGAGCCTGCCGGCGCCTTCACGGGCGACGCAGACAGCAGCGCCATCAACCCGATCGTCCGCGTCATCGAGGTCGAGCGCGGCGATGCGCTCTCGCACTGGAACTGGGGCAAGAAGTCGGCGCTCATGCTGATGCGCGCCACCGAATGGTATCAACGGGTCCAACGCAATACGTGCGAGTAATAATAGCTGCGTTGGCATACTCTCGTCGTGGAGCTTACTCGGTTTTCTTGTCGCGGAGCGCATCCAAATCGGCTTGGAGCTGCTTGGACTTGGCTTGCTCGGCCTGGATCCACTGCGTGTAGAGGCCGGTCATCTTCTGCACTTCCTTCTCGAGCACGCGGCGGCGGACCTTCTCTTCGAGCACCCACGCGCGCCACTTGTCGGTCGCGATCGTCGTGAGCCCGTCGGCAACCGCGACCTGGCCCATCTCGGCGAGTTCGTTCTCATCAATCGAGCGCGAGATGCTGCTGTCCTTGTGCAAAAGGCGCGCGCGGTGGTCGTACTCAGTCTTCATCTGCAGCTTCTTGCGCGCCGCGGCCGCTTCGCGCTTCATGCCATCAACCACCGCGCTCGGCACGTCGGGGACGACCGCTTGGATTGCGAGCATGAGCGCAAAGATGACGTGTTCGCCGAGACCCACGGCGACGAGCGTCTGGAAGGGCGTGATACTCGGGTAAACGCTCTGGAGCACGCCCGAGTTGAAGCCAATGATCGTGCAGTTGGTGAGCACGGCGACGTAGCTCAGGATCGTAAACGCGATCTGCCACGTGCCAATGCCGTCGTGCGGCGACCGCGGGTTGCGCTGGTGGTTCATGAGGATCTTGAACGCGTCGCTGCGCTGCTCGACGACGTTGTTGGCGAGCGCACACGCACTCGCGAGCGGGTACGCTGACGCAAACAGTGTCACGTGCCTAGTACACGAGCAGGCGTCTATCCTGCTGCATCGTATCGCGGGACGCACCCGAATTGGATGAAGAGCTCGAGGTAGTCCATGAACGTGCCTTCGTAGACGGGCAAGAGGGCCTCGACATCGACCTTGTGCACGACAGCGACCGTCGCGTCCTTCTCGGCGTTGAGCCCGACCTTGGCCTTGACCGTCGACTCGGCCATGACAAACGGCACCAGCGTTTCCTACATTGCTTGGTGCGTGGATGACGCTACTGGCGGTCCTACCGTGACGTTGCCAATCAAAAGGCGCATGATGAGGAGGGACCCGAGCGTCGTCTGGAGCAGCTCAAAGTCGCCGACAAAGAAAGTGATGTAGAAGAGGAGCCCAAAGTTGTTGACGAACTGGAAGAGCGCGAGCTTCGCGATGAGGCCGTTCGTGTACTACGCCAAGAGAAGCATCCTGCGCCGACCGCGTTAGACGAAAAGAGACGTACGTCCATTTCCGTGCGGTGGTTCTCGTAGTCGTTGAGCCAAGTGGCGAGCGCGCCGTAGTGCTGGTCGATCAAAAAGCGGCGCCGGCGTAGAACGCCGACGGCAGCATCGCAAGGTACTGCAGGCCGTGCGTCCAGCCGTTCTCTTCGGTCACGTGGTGTCGGATGTACTCCTACGCGCGCATTCCGCACAGGTCGATCGAATCAAGCGTACCTCGGCTTGGAAGTACGCGAGCATGAACGCGATGATGGCCGCGATCGCCGCCAGAAGGACCGGAACCGTCACCATGTACCGGCGGAGACGCTGGTTGAACGAAAACGACTTGTAGTGGGTCTCGTCAATGTCGTCGTACATGAGCGTGCCTTCGAACCCGTCGCGGACCTTGTTGGCGCTGCCAAGCACGAGGCTCTCCGAGTCGGCGGCGCCCCAGTTCCATACGAGCTCGCTCTGGCGGCGCTTCCATCCCTCGAGGAAGACGACGGCCCACGCAGCGACAAAGAGCGCGTACAAGGCGCTTCCAAAGTTGGACACACCGAAGAACGCCTACACACATCGGTCGGTCCTGTCATGGACGAAGAAGAGGAACCTGGTAGAGGGCGACTGCGAGGCCGACGATCGTCGGGTAAATCAAGTACCGCGTGTAGAGACCAAGGAACGCAAAGTAGAAGCCGACTTCGTTGCCGCAGTAGTCGCGGACAAGCGCGACTGGCACGCGCGTGAACGCGCTCTTCTGCTTGACCCAGGACTCCATGAGGTGCGTGCGCTCGGTGGTGTCGTGGAGAGGGAAGACAGCCGTAATGAGGCCTTTCTCGCGTGCTGTATGGAAGAGCTTGTCGCCACTCTTGAAGACCGGGTGCGACTCGTCGTCGTTGAGGAAGACGGTCAGCGACGAGAGGGCGAAGAGGAGCAAGTCGATCTTCTCGCCCGACGAGAAGGCGACGGAGCCGTCTGCCGTCGCCGCAAACTCGGTCGCGAGCGCTTGCTCAAAGTGGACCCACTTGCCCTTGAGGTTGGTCTTGCGCAGCGCGCAGGCCTCGGCGTAGCGCGCGTAGACAGCGTCCGAGGCCGCACCCACGAGGAGGTAGGCCGCGCCGTTGTTCTTGTCCGGGTCGTCGTCGTGCAGGATCGCCGAGTCGCCCTTCACGCGCACGACGAGGTCGGTGTGGTCCGCGACCTCGCGGAGGAAGAGCTCCATCTCATGGAGGGACCGCACCTTGAGCACGAGGTGCATGGCCTGCTCGTCGGGGCTTCCATCCGCGACCTTCTACAGCATCGACTGCATGAGGACCAGGAAGCTCCATGGCGCCAGCGTCTACCAAGGGAACGGAGAGCATGAACTTCATGAGGCTCCACCCGGTCGCGGCAAAGCCGGCTGCGTACACGACGCCCTTGACAAGATCGTCCATCGTTCGTTCGCAAATGACTGGCTTTTCCCACATGTGAGAAACGGTATTTCACACGCTCTTCTTCCATGGTTTCTTCAAAACCATTTTACACGCACGTGTGTTTGCAACCCATCTTGTGCGATGTATAGTTGGGAGGGATGTGAAAATTGGCACGACATTTCCCACCGTCCGAGCGGATCCAGACGAGGTTCCGTGGTCAAGAGAAGAGGAGCGATGCCATCGGCCTTCTCGATCGACAAGTTCACGGACAAGCTGCGCAGCTGCAATGAGACCGCCGGCTCGATCCAGTCGCTGAGCGCATGGGTGCTCCACCACCGGGCTGCGCTGCCCGAGATGCTAGACGCCTGGTACAACAGCTTCATTGCCGAGTCCACGGCCAAGAAGATCGTGCATCTGTACGTGGCCAACGACGTCATGCAGACCGGGCTGCGCAAGATTGGCGAGAAAATCCCGCTGGCATGCGCGCACAAGGTCATGATGGCCGTCGTGCACGCGATGCACCCGCAGCGCGACCAAGCGGTGCATGGCGTCGTGCGCAAGCTCGTGCGCGTCTGGACCGACCGCCGCATTCTGAACGCTGCCGTCTTGGCCAAGATGGCTGACCTCTGCAGTAATGGCGCGCGGCCGATCGACGCGTCCTCGGACGACGCGCCAGCGACCGACGAGAGCAACAATGCGCGCGAGAGCTTCCAGGACGAAGCGCTCTTGACCGAGAACCTCGTGCTCGGCGACCTTCCGGACGCAGACGACTCAGACGTCACAAAAGACGCGGCGACCAAGCTGCAGGATCTCGAGGCCGAGGTCATTAGCACGGACTTGCTCAGCGATCGCATGTTCCAGTTGCACTCGAACATCAAGATGTTTTACAAGGCGCAGACGGACGAGGCATACGATGTGGACGAAGATACGCTCTGCGGTATGAACTGGGACATGCTCGAGGTACCCGTCTTCGAGATCGTCGTCGACCAGAGCCAGCAGCAGGTTGCGACTTTCCGCCATCACTTGGAGCAGCAAGTGGCGAAGCGCAACGACCTCATGGACCACTACGCATCATTGACGACGTTTGACGTGCTCGACGACCCGACCATCTGCGACGTCTCGATGCGCATGGAGAAGGAGCTCGAGGACTTGGAGCGCCTCCACACGCTCTGCAAGGAGGCTGTCGTCCTGCAAGAGACAACCAAGTTGCAGAAAATGGCTGCCTCCAAGCTCACGCGCCGCCACAGCGACCGCACTGTCGTCGCCGCCGCGACGCTGACGCACCGCCACAGCGACACGGACGTGCTGTCCCGATCGCGCTGGGACCGCGCGCCGCCGTCGCTTCCGCCACCGACGTCGTCGTCTTATAGCTACGGGGCCGAGGCCCCAGCTGCGCCAACGTATCAAGCGCCACCTGCGTACGAGTACACGTCGTCGTCGTCGTACGCACCACCGACGGCCTCGTACGACTATGCGCCGCCCGAGACGTACCAGTACAGCGCGGCGCCCGAGCCCCACTACGGGTACGCCCGCAGCAGTGAGCCCAAGTACGGTCGGAAGCGAGATCGGTCGCGGTCGCCGCCCCGCCGCTCGCAAGAGAGACCGCGCAACCACAGCAGCAGCAGCAGCAAGTTTAGCAGCCACCAAGGCTCTGGCTACAAGCATTCCCAGCGCTCGCGGTCGCGGTCCCGGTCGCGCGAGCGCTGGTGACCACCGGAGACGCCTCATCCTTTTATCTTAACGCTGAACGACTAATCTAACAAATCCTTGCATGTCACTTTTGTACTCGTTACGAGGCAGCATAGTAGATAAGAATGGTTAAGTTAGATCGAAAGCACAGAGCTTAGTCCAAGACGATCGTGTCGCCGTGGTAGATGTCATCGTCCACGTGGCACTTGGTGTAGTACGCCGACTGCCGCAGCGAGCGCAGAATACTCGCGTCGTCGAGCTCTTCCTTGGTCTCTTCTTCGTCTTCGCTGTCGGTCGCAAAGTCGTCGTGGGTACGGGCAAAATCCCAGTCCTTCTCAAACGACACGGTCGGAGGCAAGGTCGTCGGCGCACTCTGCGTCTTGCGCAGCGTCGGCGGCATCGCCGGTCGCAGCGGTCGGCGCGCCACCTTGAGCGTCGGCGCCGCGACCGGGATCCCGATCGGAACCTCCTCCTCGAGCGTCAGCGGTCGAACCGGATCGGTCTCGTCGTCGTCATCCATTGGCTCGTACATGATGTCGTCGTCGCTGGACGAGTCGTCGTCGTCGCTTTGAAAGAACTTGGCGACGGAGAAGGTCGTCGGCCGCGTGAAGAGCCGCGAAACCGAACTCGAGAGGGACCGCGTGAGGCGGCTCACATGGAAGCCCGTGACTGCAGCCACGGACGGTGCTGCGAAGTAGACGTCGCAGGCGCCGCAGCGGAAGCAGGCCGACGACGGAAGCACGCAGACCTTGAGACATCCGGGACAGCGCACGGTGACGTGGAGCCCGAGGTCCCGCGCGACGTGGCTCGTCGTGTCGGCGACCTCGTGCTTGATTGTATCGAGCTTGGAGCGAAGCGCGTTGCCGCAGCTGCCGCAGTACGAGCCCGAGGCGCGGTTGCGAGCCCCGCAACGGGTGCAGTTCAGATGCATTGGCGCGCTGCTGGCGACCACCGACACGAACGGAGCGTCGCAGCTGTAGCAATCACGCACACCGCGCGCATTGTAGCTAGAACTATGATTGATACCAAGGAGGAGTGAGTTCATCCATGTGGCCAGACCAATCGAAGAATGCGACGTACCACTCGCCACACCGCCACGAGCCGTCGCTGTGGATGGCATGGGGCGCTGCCAGCGGCTCTGTGAGCTGCGGTGCGGACGGCAGCGCGTGTTCGCACATGGCGCAGTGGCTCGCGTCGGCGTCATTGAGGTATGTGCTACATGTACTAGAAGCATGAGCATGCTTGTCTGTCGGCAGCAGCATTCCTACCACGTGGTACAGGCGAGCGTGGCGGCGGTGGGCCGCGCCATCCAGGTCGACGAGAGGTGCAAGCTACTCCATGCAGCATGAGGATACAACCGAAGAAGACGCGAGCGTACTTGGCGTACGAGCGCAGGAGCTGGTCGGCGGACAAGGCGGTCGTCATTCGTCGTCGAGCGCAGTTTGTAATTTGTGTCAAGAATAATGGATCGCAAGCACCTGGTGCACCTCGTCTTTATTTTATACCAGCGATTTCGTATGGTCCTAAAGAATTTTTAAAACCTGTCGACAAAGGGTGGCATATTCAGTGACGGCGCATGCTGCTTGTCGCGCCGCCACGAGTGGTGGCGAGCGAACCGACCCGCGATGACAGTAGTAGCGTGGCAAGAGGTCGTATAGTAGGATAGGCTGTAGATACTGAGGATACTTGTATGGACCCCTAGTCCTCCGATTTGGCGCCACCAGATCTGATGGACGTGCGATGCGGCTGCTGCGATGGTGATGCGACCTGGTTTCCAGAATCGACGCTGATGACGAACGAGACAGGAAACCGAATTCGCCGTCCTAGCAAAGCGAACGTACAGTGTCGATTGCACATTGCAGTGGGACCATGGTGCGACGGTCAACCTGGTTCCGCTTTGCGCGTACCTGGTATCCCGGTAGGAGCTGCATGCAGGTACGTCGTGGCACATCCGTTCTTAGAGGATCGATGCACAAAATCGTGACAGGGCTTGCGTCAGGAGGCAAAGCCACGTCGAGATTATTGGCACGGGCTATGCAACGCATCCTCTTTGCACCGTCCGAGCTTCAACGAGCGTCGCCACCATTATCCGGATGCCGAATTTGAAAAAGTGATAGGTATCCTTGGCGCCAAACGTGGCAGCGTGAGCGGTCGCGTGCACGCCCCACGCCCCTGGTGCTGGAAGAAAAAAGACGGCGGCGTACGAAACGATGCGGGGGGCCGCGATATATTATTGTAGTGCGCATGATTTCTTGGAAAGCATCGGAAGAACCGTGACGTAGCGAACGTTGCTCATCGCAAGCGCCATCAAGGCATGAAGCATAACGAACTTGACATGTTTTTGAAGAGCGCCATGATGCGACTGCCTTTGCCACTGCCCTACACGCTCAGACACATGACAAGAGTGATGACAATACGAGCTTCCAGCCGCCTACGGCTCGATATCCCGGCAGAAGTCGACCGTCGCTCTGCTGCAGGCTGGGTTGAACACAACGACAGCGTTTTCCGCGCGTCGCTCCGCCCACGTCGTCCAAGCCCCTGACCATGAAGGCAGCGACGCTCATGTGCATGCAATTACTAGTGGCTGCTTGAAAAGCCGTGGCGCGCCACATCGTACTTCACATGCCAGTCGCGCCTGCCCAGACGCTTCTTAGAGCCCCTCACACCCAACTAGCTTACAAGGTTCGCCATCGAAGACGTCACGGCGAAGGCAAAGATGCATCCTCTTGGAAGTCCAGGTATGTATATCGACAAGAGTCACGTTAAACCGAACAAAAACACTTGCTTCCAACCGCCTTAATCCTTATCTACAGGCGCTGCGCTAGCTCACGCGTTCGACCGGTGGTGCAACATGCAGTGTAGGAGCGAGCAAAGTACATGACGCACACAACCAGAAAGACAACGACTACGCCGTCGTTACATAGTACCCAACTTCAACCCTACACCATCAATGACATAGAGCACGTTGCGACGGTGCTATGAAACCAGTTTACATTTATTACGCAACGGTACAGCTATCGATTTTGTTGTCGTGCGCGCCTCTTACTCTTGGTTGTTCGTTTCCTTCGGCTTGTTCGTCTCCGCGAAATCGAGTAGGACGCTCTTGAACTCTTCGTACTTCTTCTTCCGCATGATCTTCTTCTCAACAATGTCGTCTAGCTTCTTGAGGCCGCCAAAGACGCGCTGGTCGAGGAACTTGTCGAGCATCGCGTCGTTCAATTGCTCGAACGCATCCGCGAGCTTCTCCTTCGTGGCCGTGTTGAGAAACTTGAGGGCGAAGAGGACAGTCTTCGGGTCCACGTCAGCAGCGGGGTCCATCGTCTTGCCCATGGTAGTTAGCGGTCGTCGCTTGCGGCGGGGTGGTCAATGCGCAAATGCCTCTCTTTGAGCGGCAAGTTATGGTGGCCCAACTGAAAGATATCCCGCGTCTTCTCATGGCCAATCAGAGTGTGTCATTTTAAACCAACTGCCGCTGATTGGACCGAAAAAATATACCGGTACGTGGCACTCTACAAAGCGCCGACACCGGATTCGATATTCGAAGCGCCACGTCACCCAGCCTTGGTCACCCTTCGAGAACCTTCGATGCCCGACCCAGCGGGCATCGGATGAGGCACGCGAAAGTAGCTTCCACACAAGAGCAGTCTTTTGACTTTCCCTGTAGGCCCGTCATGTGTGTATGCATGGTATGCTGTCGGTGCAGTACGATCATCCGTCTGCTTCGGCCCAATGAGTCGATCACATAGCAAAGGGCGATGTTGCGCACGGACTGGTGAACGACCGCCTCGCCGTTCACGCAACGTCTTTCTTTGTTCATGCTAAGGTTTGGCGGTGTTCCTAACGGCGAGAAATGCTCGATTCTTGCTGCTCGAGAGGGCCAGTGTGAATTGCCTGCTTCGCTTCATGATTTCTTCGACCCGAAGACGATACCGACACTCGACACACATGGCGGACGGTCTTTCATTGGCGACTTACAGTACTACGTACAAGTAGGCGTCGACGACCTAATCCGTGACGGGCTTTTCCTGAGGCTTATTCGCCGTCGCGTACTCTAGAATGACGCTCTTGAACTCCTCGTACTTCTTCTTCCGCATGATCTTCTTCTCAACAATGTCATCTAGCTTCTTGAGACCACCAAAGAGGCGCTGGTCGAGGATCTTGTCGGCGACGCTGTCCGAGAGCCCGTCGAGGTTGTCGAGGAGCTTCTCTTTCGTGGCCGTGTTGAGAAACTTGAGCGCGAAGAGGAGGACCTTCGGGTCGACTTCGGCGGCGGGTTGCGTTGGCTTGCCCATGCTGCTAGTTGGCTGGTGGTTCTTGGTCCTTGGAGGCAAAATGGAATATGACCTGGCAGTGAAGCTCGCAACGAGAGTCGCAACGACGCAACGAGGTCGTCGAAGATAGGCCAGTTTTAACAAACTTCAACCTGCGAATATCGAACCTTGCCGTTGCAACTTCTTTTTCAACGCAACCAAGGGACTAGATACTCACCTGCGACTCGCGTCACGTGTGATCATGGGGCATACATTTATATATATACCTAGGTACCCCAAAAGCCACGTGCGATCGCAAGCGCCGTGGTAGGCAGCGCTGCAGTGCTCCTGGAGGAGATGGGCGGCGAGCTCGGTTCTTGCGTCAGGTGGCACGAACGCGCTTTGGAAACTAGGCAATGGGAAAACCTGGTCGGGCTGCTACTGCCATGTTCTACTCGCAATGGAGATGTGGGTGCTAAAAAGCGTGTTGGTACAGTATTAAGTTGAGGGCGACGACGATCTAAAAGACTAAAACTATCTAAATCTGTCGCCGCGTCCGCGGTGCTTACGCGGTTTGGCGCTTCTCCTTGGGCTTGTGCTCGACGGCCCATTTCAGCGCAATGTCCTGGAACTCTTCAAACTTCTTTTTCCGCATGATCTTCTTCTCGAGGATGTCATCGAGCTTCTTCATGCCGCCAAAGAGGCGCTGGTCGACGATCTTGTCGGCCATGTGGTCGGTAAAATGACCTTCAAACGTCTCGAGGAGCTTTTCCTTGGACGCCGTGTTCATAAACTTGATGAGGAAGATCATGGTCTTCTCGTCGACTTCAACGGTCGGCGCGTGGTGCGTGGCGTGGTGCTTGCCCATGTTGGAGGAGGAAGGGGTTGGTTGTTCGTAAAATCGGAAATGGACTTGGCGGCGCCTTAGGGATACACGGCGGCGCGAGAGAAGGTGCCGCGTTGGCCCGATATTCTGCGATCTTTGCTTGGCCGCTTGGTGTCGTTTTTTCTATACGAAGTTGAAGTAGCTATGGTCAGGCGCCTCCCTTCAACCAATCAGCGATCGCATCCATAAAATAGAGGAATTTCATTGGTGGAGCCACTTTGCACTTTCTTCATCCCGAGGCCAGCCAATTATAGGAGAAATTGTATTGGATGTGGGGGCGTGCGTGTTTCTTCATCGAGCCAGCGTGCGCGTGGCGATCTTGTTGGTTGATACAAAGCGCTTGATATGTCGTACCCTGTAAGAGCCTGCTGCGGAGAAACCCGCTTCGCAAAGATGTGCAGGCCCATACTCTTATGCAGTGAATAGCGAGCGATCAGAGTCCAGACCTTGAGGTTGTATAGGCCGGTCGAGTGCGTGCGCCGTTGCGGCGGGTTCTCAGAGCTGCGTATCTTGAGCCCGCCACGTCTGTCCGCAGGGCCGATTCTGGTCGACGACGACGGCGTTCATCGGTGGAGGGACTGACTGCGGCCCCTCTCCAACGCCTGCATGTCATTGCCCGGAAGAGTGCTACTATTCCCTCGCTTGCAAGTATGCACCGCCGTGTCATTCCAGGTAATAGATCCCAAGGTTGACAGTGACCGTCATGACGGGACTCCGCCGCCGCAGTTTTCAAGAGAGTCCACGTGAATCCTGTGGCGCCATGCAATATGGCGCGTTTCATCCAGGACAAAACGTTGTGCGCGGGTTGCAGACGCAAAAGCCTTCAACCTGGGTTGAATGCGAGTTTAAACCATGGAAATACGTCAATGGTAATTGCTGCATGCCGCTTGGACCATCTGCAGGTGATGATGTGCCCTAACGTTACCGACAAAAGGTGGGAATTGGTTAAGCAGCTGCGCCGGGCTCCATCCGCAGCCACCCTAGCACGTCGCTGTTGTCTTTGAACTTGCTGGATGTTGTCGCTCTTGTTGCCGTTAGTAGACTCTTCCGCGCTCAACTGCAGCGAAACGGCTCGGTCAATGGGTCGGTTTCACAGGCCATGGGATCGGCATAATCGTTCGTTCATTCGTTGAAATTGAATCGCAACTCTTGTCTTTTGACCAATCGTTTCGCATGTGGGTAGCTTTGCGTATAATATGATTTCTGTAAAACTAATACGGCATATTTGTATGCCTCGATACCCTTTGATAAATAAATATATCAACAGCTTGCTTTCGCAAAATATTTTTATTGGTCCGTAAGGCGGTTTTTAATATTAAATTATCAACACCATCTCCCATACAACGCATAGGTTGTTCATGCGCGAGACGTATTTTATTGTAATCTGGTGGGAGCCAATCGTTTTCGCTGGCCACTCTGCAGGTTGGCATTTGCAAACTGGAAGCCAAGTAGGAAGAAGGCATGGATTAATCAGCCACGGGTTTCCCCCATAACTTATTGGCCTTCATGACCATGCGAAAGTAGTCTGAGGCCCTTAATTAGCTTGCGAGACAGACTGCAGACACGTACCGCATCGGCTTCGGTCGGCGTTGGGACGTCCTATGGTTCAGTGTGCCATGTTCCTTTCTCAGTTCTTGAGGAGGAAAATCCATGGCGCCACCGGTCTCGTTCGCCAGTCTGGACCCCGACATTCTTATCGCAACGTAGTAGTTATTTTCTCGGGTCCGTGTGAGGAAACAAAAACACATAACCATCTTTCGACAGAAGGTCTCCAACCAATGTCGAGAACCTACCATATTCTGATGGACCCATCAAAGACATCACTAGTCCATTCGTGTAGATTACTTCAAGATAAAAATTAACCATAAATAAGAAATCACGTTGAACGACTGAAATCGTTGTCAACAATGTCGCGTGATGGCGCCTCGTGTAAGGAGCAACGGTGGAAGCATGGCCGAGCAGTTTGCATGACACGATGCCGCACGACAACCGAAACTCAGTCTTGATGTACACGCGTGGAGCCAACATCCGAGCCATTAACCCCTGATCGCGCGATGTCGGATACACATCCAGCATCTTTGCTATCCCGCTGAAGGGAAATCAGGCCCGAGGTGGTACAATTTACAGTTGCTACTGGTGGCAGGCCTAGAAGAGGACATGGGCTTCTTTCCTATGAATCATGGTGGCAGTGGGTCTTGAGCAATCTGGTTGCGATTATGAGCTGCCGCGTTTGTCGTTGCGTTTCAGAGGCCAGCACGATCTCGAAACTGCATATTGAAGCAACACCAAACTGGTCTCTGATTCACAATACCAGATCACACGCCACAAAGATCGTGCCAGACTCTGGCGCGAACTTGTTGACGTAGCTTCAAGACTCGACTTCACCGTCAGAGGTCTAGGTACTTGGGTTCTTTGAAGCTGATGTAGTCAATCAAAGCAGCAGTACTGCAACGCAGAGGGCTTCACTCTGGCTCACGTAAAGAGCGTAGAGCTCCTTGTAGTTCTTCGAGTTTAATGACAAGTGTACTGCCATCTTCTGTACTACGGGTGATGATTTCGTTGCCGAGTTGAGAAGACTCTTTCGAGTGCTTCTACCAAACGCTACAGCGCATTCCACAGCGTTTCCATACTAAGCTGAGTACCGGTAGACCCTTCCGTGGCTCTACATGTTCTGTCGAAGGACTCGTGGAAGCACAGCGAAGCTAGCGCCACGACCAGCATCTATCCAGCAACAACCGCTTCCAGCGCGGGGCTCGAGCAACGTCTCTACTCAGTGTGTCCACCAAGGTACGACTGCAGAGCTCGCACGACCGACCAGCGTGTCGACTGCCTCAACCCCGCGCAGCAGGACAATGGAGCCCAAGTGTGTAATGCCATCTCTAATGTCGACTCAGCGCTGGACGACGCCGGCTCCCGACGGCGCATCGAGGCGCCAGCGCGGCGATTACGGATGGCGTCATTGTGCGTGCAGGGACAGGAGTTACCACCCGCTATGGGTGCACCTGATCGATGATTGTCGACCAGAGAGAGGAAAGAAGAAGGGGGCGCAGAAGAACACCAAGGCGCTGCTGCGTCGCGTTGCCACATTGCACTTTTCTGCGAGCCGCCCGACAGTTGGCAAGCGCCCGCCCGACGCGGGGCCGCCCGAGATGCTTGCCCATCATCTGGAGGGGCCAAACCAATCACCGGCATGATCATGATGCAACGCATGGCATTTATAATCATTTGCGAGCAAATCGGAGGCGGCGGCGCCATGACGTCGATGGTAGGAAGACCATGACGGCGCCTGCTTGTGACCCCATCCTTGTCGCCGTGCCTAAAGCTCATTTCGCATATCAACCTGCGGCCACCACTCGCCGGGACGCTGCCCATGCGCCCAGGTTTTGTCACGGCTGCTCGCCGAAGATGACGGAAAGCCGTGTCTTCGTACCTCGCGATTGCGAGGTGGAGACATGGCGCAAATTGCACTACCCATCGGGCGTGGGTATGGGTCAGCGAGGGCCACAACGGCCACGGCGTTCTTGTTTCGTGATCCATCGGAACCTTCGGGCAATGCGCGCCAGAGTAGTAGCCGATTACGAAGAGGCCCCATGCGCAGAAACTCGAGGCGTCGTGGACAGGCAGCGCGACGGCCGATGCCAGGACCTCCTGCTCTGATATGCCCACGTGGTTGCAGAAACCAATGGCAGCACATGCGACGAGCATGTCGCAGGACGCGCGTAACACCGTCGATCGGCAAGAAAGGGCATGCTGGGGCGAATTAGGTTGAAGCCAATGGTTGAATAAACATTGCCGGCGCTACTTGCTGGGAACGTCATTTCCCAACGAGCGCCAAGATGCCCAAGTACACGGCCACCAACATCACCGACGAGGTGGACATCCGCGTGACGGACCGCAACGCCAAGTTTGAGCCCACGACGCTCTGCAAGATGTTCCAGGCGACGGCGGCCAAGTACGCGTCGCAGCCGGCCCTGCACTACAAGCAGAATGGCGAGTGGTATGAGCTAATATCTTTCTGTACCTGGCGATCATACGCTCATCATCAAATCAATGTGTAGGGCGTCGTACACGTGGCAGGAGTACGAGGCCAAGGCCATGGCCTTTGCCAAGGCGCTCGTCTCGTTGGGCTTTGACCGCTTCGACACGGTCTCGATCTCGGGCTTCAACTCGACCGAGTGGTTCGCGGCGTACATGGGCTGCATCATGGCCGGCGGCGCCGCCACGGGCGTCTATACGACCAACGGCCCGCAGGCGTGCCAGTACGTCTGCAACAACTCGCTCGCGCGCGTCGTTGTCTGCGATGGCGTCAAGCAGCTCGAAAAGTTCATGTCGATCGCGGACCAGCTGCCGTCGCTCAAGGCGCTTGTCGTGTGTACGTTGCCCTTGCGATTGCACTTTGGACTAAGATCTCATGGTGCAAATTGCGTGTGATTAGACAATGCGCAGCTCCCGGCCGACGTCGAGTGCTGCGTGCCCATCTACGATTTTGACGCGTTCCTCGGCCTTGGCTCGGACATTTCGACGGCGACGATCCAAGAACGTATTGACATCCAGCGCCCGGGCAACTGCGCGTCGCTCATCTACACGTCGGGCACGACGGGCAACCCGAAGGGCGTCATGCTCTCGCACGACAACTTGACGTACACGCTGCGCGCGGTCACGTCGGGCTTCCAGGGCGACCTCTTCAACAACACGGAGCGCATCATCTCGTTCCTTCCGCTCTCGCACATTGCCGGCCAGATCCTTGATATCGGCATCCAGATCTACTACGGCCTGCACATTTACTTTGCCGAGCCCGATGCGCTCAAGGGCTCGCTCGGCAAGACGATGAAGGAGGTGCACCCGACCTTCTTCCTCGCTGTGCCCCGCGTCTTTGAGAAAATCTCGGAGAAGATGGTCGAAGTCGGCCGCGGCTCCAAGGGCCTCAAGAAGGCGATCGCGACGTGGGCGCGCCGCGTCGGTGGCCAAAAGGTTGTCATGAGCCAGTACCACGAGTCGGGTGGCAAGCCGTGCGGCTACGACTTTGCCAAGGCGCTCGTCTTCAACAAGGTGCGCGACGCGCTTGGTCTCGACAAGTGCAAGGCCTTCTACTCGGGCGCGGCGCCGCTGAGCCCGGAAGTCACGGCGTTCTTTGCCTCGCTTGACATTCCGATCTACGAGGCCATGGGTCTCAGCGAGACGACGGGAATTTCGTTCTTCAACTACCCGCACAAGTGGAAGCAGAGCTGCCTCGGCCACTTCCTTACCGGCACGGACGTCAAGATCGACCCGACCAACTCGGAGCTGCTCATTCGCGGCCGCCACGTCATGATGGGCTACATCAACAACGAGGAAGGCACGGCCGCGGCCCTCGATGAAGATGGCTTCCTCCACACGGGCGACTGCGCGTCGCTCGACTCGGATGGGTTTGCGTTCATGACGGGTCGGCTCAAGGAGCTCATCATCACGGCTGGTGGCGAGAACGTCCCGCCGGTCCTCATTGAGAACGTCATCAAGGAAGAGCTCCCGCTCCTCGGCAACGTCATGATCATCGGCGACAAGCGCAAGTTCCTCTCGGCCATCTTTACGTTCCGCGTCACGGTCGACGAGCACGGCGAGCCGACCGACAAGCTCGATGCGGAAGCCAAGTACATTTTGGCGCAGCTCGACTCGAGCGCTTCGACTGTTGCGGAAGCGATGGCCGACCCCAAGATCAAGACGTACCTCGACGCCGGCCTCAAGCGCGCCAACGCCCGCGCCACGTCGCACGCGCAGAACATCCAAAAGTACATTTTTGTCGCGCGCGACTTTAGCGTGCCGGGCGGTGAGATGACGCCGACGCTCAAGATCAAGCGCAACGTGGTCGCGGACAAGTACGCGGCCGAGATCGACGCCATGTACGGCCACTAAGCCGCTGATGTCTGCTCCTTTGTGTAATAATCCTTTGTCGTAATCTCTTTTGTATTGGATGGTTCGAGTGGTTCAAGTGCAGCGATCACCGACAGCAGGTCGTCGTCCTACCATCACAATCCAGCAACACCTTGTCAATGATTTTTCAACAACACTTGGTGGAGACACTGGACAGTGGGTTGCCGTCGAGGTCTGCGTGAAGATGGCAATGACAATCAATGACAGACAACTCATCCATCACAAGTCGCGTCGATGATTCTCGCAATGTATAGGAGTTGAAACTGCTCGCTGGCTTGTCACAGAATGGACTCGTACGTACGTTGAAGGAAGGGTCCGTGAGGCTTTTTTATATGGACCCTTGGTTGAGTGTACGGTCTGCTGCTTCTGAGCATCCATGGGTCTCGATGCGTGGCAGTCGAGTCGAATCGGGTGCTTCCACCATGGAGATGACACCAGCCTCCTGCAGTGGTACGTCGACGTAGCGTCGTCGTTCCAGCGACGTCCATCACGTCCACGTTCAAGAAGTGTCGTAGAAATCTGTCTGTGGTCAGAGAAGATGTATGACGCGACGCAGCTGATTGGTCGACGGACCACAACCCGGGGCTGTTCCCCGCCGTCGTTGGCTCATTTTTGTTTTTCGCACGCAAGCAGCATGCCCAAGTACACGGTGCGTCCAGCCATCTTTTCAATGGCACCAGCTCATAGAGTACCGCTAGACAACGAGCATCCGCGACGAGGTCGACATCCGCCTCGATGAGCGCACGGCGTCGCTGCCACCCGTGACCTTGTGCGCCATGTTCCAGGAGACTGCGATCAAGCATGCGGCCCAAGACGCACTGCACTACAAGAAAGACGGCGTCTGGTACTCTTCCTTTTCTTCCATCGTCGTCATTAAGAACTTTTCAGGCACTCGTACACGTGGCAAGAGTACCTTGACACGTCGCGCCAGTTTGCGAAAGCGCTGCTTCACCTCGGCTTTGACCGCTTCGACACGATCTCGATTTCGGGCTTCAACGCGTGCGAGTGGTTTTTTGCCTACATGGGCACGATCCTCGCGGGTGGCGCCGCCACCGGCATCTACACGACCAACTCGGCGGCGGCGTGCCAGTACGTGTGCGCCGACTCGTTGGCGCGCGTTATCGTCTGTGACGGCGTCGCGCAACTTCAAAAGTTTGTGTCGATCGCAGACCAACTCCCATCGCTCAAGGCGCTCGTTGTGTGTACGTACTTGAGTTTGCACTTTGAGATTGCACTTGCTAAGATCTCATTTCAAGTTGCGTGCATGTAGACAATGCGAACGTGCCGGCCGACGTGGCTACCTCGGTGCCTGTGTACAGCTTTGCGTCGTTCTTGGAGCTCGGAAAAGACGTGGCCGAGTCGTGGATCGACGACCGCATCGCGGCCCAGCGCCCGGGCCACTGCGCGTCGCTCATCTACACGTCGGGCACGACGGGCAACCCGAAGGGCGTCATGCTCTCGCACGACAACATGACGTACACGATGCGCGCGATGAATTGGGGCTTTGCCGCCGACACGTTTGGCCCGACCGATCGCATCATCTCGTACCTTCCGCTCTCGCACATTGCGGGCCAGATCCTCGACATTGGCAACCAGATTTTGCACGGGCTGCACATTTACTTTGCCGACCCGGATGCGCTGAAAGGCTCGCTTGGCAAGACGCTCAAGGAGGTCAAGCCCACCTTTTTCCTCGCAGTGCCCCGCGTCTTTGAGAAAATCTACGAAAAGATGCTCGAGACGGGCCGCGACACGAAGGGCCTCAAGAAGATCATTGTCCGCATGGCCCGCGCGATCGGCCTCGCGAAAGTCCAAGCCAGCACCCACAACGGCGACAAGAGCGTTCCGTGGGGCTACGCGCTCGCCAAGTACCTCGTCTTTGACAACGTCCGCGCGGCGCTGGGGCTCGACGAGTGCAAGACGTGCTTCTCGGGCACCGCGCCGTTCAACCCGGAAGTCTCGTCTTTCTTCGCGTCGCTCGACATTCCGATCTATGAGGCCATGGGCCTCAGCGAGACGGCGGGTATCACGTTTGCCAACTACCCCGCGACGTGGAAGCAAAGCAGCCTCGGTCCAGCCATGTATGGCGCCGAAGTCAAGATCGACCCGGCCAACTCGGAGCTGCTCATTCGCGGCCGCCACGTCATGATGGGCTACATCAACAACGCCGCGGCGACCGCCGCGACGATCGACGACGAAGGCTTCCTCCATAGCGGGGACTGCGCGTCCATTGACGCGGACGGCTACGGCTTCATCACGGGGCGTCTCAAGGAGCTCATCATCACGGCTGGTGGCGAGAACGTCCCGCCCGTCCTGATCGAGAACGTCCTCAAGGAAGAGATTCCGATCCTCGGCAATGCCATGGTTGTCGGCGACAAGCGCAAGTTTCTCTCGGTCATCTTTACGTTGCGTGTCCTCATGGATGCCAACGGCGCGCCGACCAATGAGCTCGACAGCGCTGTGACACACGCACTGCGCGAGATTGGGTCGAGTGCGACGACGGTGGCCGAGGCCCTCGCGGACCCCAAGGTGCTCGCGTACGTCGACGCGGGCCTCAAGCGTGCCAACGAGAAGGCGACGTCGCGCGCGCAAAAGGTGCAAAAGTACATTTTCGTATCGGAGGACTTCAGCGTGCCGGGCGGCGAGATGACGCCAACGCTCAAGCTCAAGCGCAACGTGGTGCTTGACAAGTACGCGGCCGAGATCGACGTCATGTACCAAGTCGTCTAAGTACTGCACTACACATTGTATCGATACATATGCATGTCTACGCTACTGTGTTGAGGATGGCTGTCTAGGAAGGTTGAAATCATTTGCAATTTTGCGCGGTGGGTCCACGGCGTCGTTGACCGCATCGGCGAGATTGCCTTTTCTACGTGATTGGCTATTTTTAGATCGCGCGCCTCTTGCGGGCCAATCAGAATCGTGGATGCAGATTCGGGGTCATTTTTGGTTTGGCCATGCCCGAGCAGCCCGCGCTACCCGACGGCCACGAAGGATACCTCCTCAAGCTCCACGCGACGACGTGGCGGACGCGCTACGTGGTGCTCGACAGCGGCGTTTTGCACTTTTACAGCCATCGGGGCGAGGCCTACCCGCGGGGCCTTGTACTGCTCCCAGGCTGCGTCGTCGAGGTGACGCCAGAGCGCTCCCCGAATAGCGTCTGTATTACGCACCCATCAGCAACAAGTGAAATTTGCCTGGCGGCTTCTGACGCGGCATTGCTGGCTGCTTGGGTGACCAAGCTACGAGCTCATGCGGCGCACGCGCCGCGACGAGTGTCCACGGGGCAGAAGGAGCTCCAAGCACGCTCCATTGATCTTCCGAAGCTCTGGACCGAGTCTAGCATTGTCGTGGCGCAAAAGTACGAATACCAGATCAAAGCCATGATGACGGATCTGGCACAACATCTCTTTGACGCGAGCCGATGGACGCTGGTGACATCCGAGGCAGCACTGCGCATCTGGACGTCCAGTAACGCGGTCATGAGCAAAACGACGATCCACGAGACGCCACCTGCCATTCTCCAAGTGCTTCTAAGTCCCTCGAGCATGCTGCAAGTGGATACGCAGCTCAGTGCGCTTCAGCTTCTCTCGGCTGTGGACCCGCACACGTCGGTGCAACACGCGCTGCACAAGGCATTGTTTCCAACGCCTCGCAAAGCGTGTGTTAAACTATTGCACTGGCGCCTCTTGCCCGACAACTCACTCGTCGTTGTGAGCCGGTCGCTTCAAAATTACGCGCTTCCAGCGGCGCTGGAGGACGTGCCACGTATGGCGCTACACCTCGAAGGCTTCCATATCGTGCCAGCGCCCGACAACCTCAGTGCTGATGTCACGTACGTACTCCAGCCAGAGGCGCCGAGCGTACCATTGGAAGTCTTTGGCACCAAGATATGCCAACTGCGGTCGGTGGTGCAGTCGCTTAGTGGCCCCGTCGCCGTCGCACCACTGCCTCCACCACCGGCGCATGCCGCCGAGGTCGAGGCGTCGCTAACGGCGCTTCTCTCTGCTTTTGACGCTGAAGCAAAGCAATGGACCGTACACGGCGAGCGGGACGGTGTCGCAGTGTCGTACAAGCCCGACGGCGATCTCGTCGCGGTGCGCGCCCATGGACTGCTCCCTTTCCCAGCCAAAGACATCATGTCCTTTGTGTTGGCTGTCCACGACAGACCGGCGCATGACCCGCTCTGCGTCATCGCTGAGCGCGTCGCAACCTTGGATGCGCATACGACCATCGATTACGTCGCGTACAAGCCGGTGCTTCTTGTGTCCGGTCGCGACTTTGTAACGCGCGTCCACTCGCGCGAGCTCAACGACGGGTCGAGTGTCATCGTCGCCACCTCAACGACCCACCCGCTGTGTCCGCTCCGCGAACCCGACACGATTCGCGGCCACGTGCACTTGGCGGGTTGGCGCATCATACCACGCAGTGCGTCACTTTCCGAGGTGTGGTTTTTCGTCAAAACCGACCTCCGCGGTTCAATTCCCGCACGCATCTCGCAGCGTGTGCTCATCGACCAAGGCTTTGGTATGTTGGATGTTGCCAAAGCACTTGCGGCCAAAACAAAGATGGCGGCGGCGCCAGTTTCGCTTCCGACGACGCCATCCGCTTTGTCTCTGGACAGGTCACCGGCGCGGCCACCGCCAACACCGCAAGACATGACGTTGCTGGGCCTGGCCCAGTTTATGGCTCTGTTTCTAAGCCTCTTGTACGCCGCGCCGGCACTCTTCACAACGTACTTGGTCGATATCCTCCACGACGTTTTCGTCTGGGGTCTGATTGCGTGGATGTGCGTGCGACTCTACCTGGGCCCGGCCACGGACAATGTCCACCACGCTGGCTACGGGCACATCTATGCCGGCGTCGACATTGACGTCACCGCGGCACTGGCGTTTCTGCAAGAGCCGTCGCAGAAAGGCGTCAACCTTCGCGATGTGGTGGTAGCCGCAGTCGCCCGCGTTCTTTGTTCCATGCCGCATCTCAACAGTCATATTGTGCTCGGGAAGCAGTACCCATCGCCGACAATCGACGTCACGCTGGTAGCTCGCGGCCAACACGACGAAATGCTCGAGCCTCTGCCCCTCCACGATCTCGCCACCGCCACTGCCCACGGTGTCGCAGAGAACGTGCGCGCTGGCTTGGCCAAGCAGCAGAGTGACGGGACGATCGCTTGTCGCCAGGCGTGGGCGCGGTGGCTGCCATCACCAGTGCGACAGCTTGCACTGCGCCTTGTGGCATGGCTTAGCCAAGGACTGAATCTCGACTGTACACGTGTGGGCGTCCCGCGCCGGGCACTTGGCCAAGCCCTTGTCGTTGAGCTCGATGACGCGTACATTCCGATTGCGCCTTGGATGCACGTGCCGCTGTTGGTTGTCCTCGGACCGCCGACGAAAAAGCCGGTCGTTGTCGACGACCAAGTAGTCGTTCGAACAATCGTTTGTCTGCATGTGACGTTAGACGGACGCTACATCGAAGCAAGCGACGTGGGCCGCGTCACAGCTCTTCTTCGTGCATACGTGCGCGATGCCGCGACGCATTCGACCACGGAAGCGTCGACGACACAAAGCTCCCAGCTGACAGAGACAGCTGAAGCGCTTCGAAACACCACCCTTTGATTCTTGGAAATACACTTGCATGCATGCTGACAGCGTTTCCAGGTAGTACAGTAGCTATTGTTGCTACTATAGAAGCGGAATGCAAATTGGGCGAACGGGTTAGCTGATGTCGTCCAGACGCCGTGTCGAGCACAATGCAATGAGCGGTATGAAGTATCCAGCTGACCCTACCCCTGTGCAACCCCTCGGCTCGTCGATGGGTTCATACAGTTTAGCTCGGGTCCACATTCGATTTGATAGCCACGACAAGGAACATGGACAAGCAATAGCTGTAAGAATACCAATGACGCCATTGCGTTACTTTGTGTGTGAGAGGCAGGTGCAGACCGTTCTTATGCGGTGCAATATCAGCATCCTCCTCGTAGAACATGTGTGCTATTGGAGCAAGCGCTGACATGACCACAGAAACAAAATGGCACTGTATGGCTCCGACACCACGAGGCCGTCACACCGACCGTCGCGCAAGACTGGGAAGCAACGGGACGATGCGACTGCCGCTGTAGTACATTCTAGCGTAATCCGACGCCACGAAAACGTTCGGAACTCTGCGTTGAAGGGACGCTCTGCGCGGACAGCGACGTCCACGTAACCAAGACGCTGTGTACCTGGGTGCTGAACGTAGCCTCATCCAAGCGGTCGGTTTTTATGTCATCCGTGCAACTGCGAGCCACTTGATGCTCGAGGCAGAGCGTGGAGGCAGCAGCGTGCAGCCACTGATTCTCCAAGGACGCACGAGTGCAGTGCTCTCGATTGGTTCATGCCATCCATTGCGTCAACACGGTCGAAATTCTCTTGCAAGTCTCGGTGGAGTCAGCTTGCGAGCGGTCCGAACGCGCTGGGATTCTTCCCGTCCGCAACCTTGCGCCATCCATTGTTCGTGTCTACCCTCGCTTTGGGTGCATCTGGGAGAGCGGGCTTGTTTGCCACCGGCGCGTCCATGCGTGTCCGTTGTCGGCCGCAGCTGCGCTCTGCTAACGAACATCGAGCAACGACGCACGATCTTATTACGACCAGGCGTCGGGGCGCGCAAGAGCCGCACAAGTGTCGTGTCAACGCTGACCAGTTAGAATCAGGTCGTCTGTGCGTGAGTCACGGGCTCAATTGCCGTTCGGAACCTGCCAGCGAGTTATTTTCAAAAGTTACTACTTTTGACCCAATATTTGCAAAAGTTACTACCTTGCGAGCCTATATTGAAAAAGGTTACTACCTCGACGGGATTGGTCGAAATGCTGAATAAAGCCTGCGAATCAAGATGGAGCACACGCAAATAGTGTTAAATGTATCTTGTGAGTTACGTGCCGTCTAACGTGCAGCTGCGTGTACCGTGATCAAATGCACATGCCGTGCCGTCATTTGATCCGCGTGCTCGCATTTCTCAACCGCTGCGAGCGCATCTTAGCTGCATACAGACTGCGAGACTACCGCCGGACTAATAACACGCAACTTGCCGCACGGCCTTGCCGTTGCGAGCACCATGGCCGACCAGAGGCAGCGGACACGTATACCCTACTCGAATTTCTTGAGCTTCGACATGCACACACGACGATTCTACATAGCCGCACGGCCGCGTCCCTTGCCGTTGCGAGCCCCATGGCCGACCAGAGGCAGCGGATACGTATACCAAATTATATCTAAATAGACTCACTTCAACAACAACGATTCTACATACGCACGACAGGCTATCGCGTACGTACCACCGAACGACGTTCAATAATCGCTTGCTACAAAAGCCCGGTCGTGCAATACACTGTACGAGTACCTGTACCGCACCCCGCAGGACAGGGCAGCCTTTCAAAGCCCACCGTGGCGCTCGCGATATAGAGCCCAGACCAGCATACATCGGACGAAATCGTGCAAGCTCCCTACTTGTTGCGAGGCTTTTTGATGGTACTGTCTGCGTTTCGTAAACGCGGGCGGTAGCGCTGCGTGCGTTTAGCCAGCGTAGACGTGCCACAGCACCCGAACGTCCACCTGTTGGGGTGTCGCACGCTGGAGCCCGCACTCTTGATTTTGCCATGTCGTTCCCGCTGCCGAGCGACTTTTTCGAGTGCCCGCCCTTGGAGGCGGTCGAGAAGGAGTATCTCATCAACCTCGCGCTCAAGTCGTGCCACGACACGGTGCGCAACGCGATCCAGCTGCAGTCGGCGCCGATCGAGGCCGTTCTCACCAGCGACAAGACCAAGCGCCATGCACGCGTATGCACACTGCGCCTTCCACAAGAGTATCCTCTCACCATAGTACACGCAATAGATTCGCCGCGGCACCGACATTATCAACAAGTCGCTCGCGGTGAGCTGCGCCTACACGCAGATCCAGTCGTCGATCGAGGAGGTCGCCGACTTCTTCTACCTCGACTCGCTGCCGAAACTCCGCGCCTACGCCCGGACGGTTGGCCAAGTCGTTTTGGACCGGCAAACGCTCTACACGCTCGTGCCGCGAGACACGCCAGCCGGGCGACTGCACTACATTGGCATTGACTGGATGGCGATCGAGTGCCCCGCGCTTGTCGCCAACCGCGACGCGTGCTTTCTCGAGTGCCACGAAGAGTTTGAGTTTTTGGAGCCGACCACGAACGCCCTCCGCCGCGGCTTTGTGCGTTCGATGCACTCGGTGGACCTCGACTGCTGCCCGCCGTTGAAGGAGAGCCACAACGTCGTGCGGCTGTCGTTTGTGCGAGTACGCATTGGCGCGCCCTGTCGGTTTCGGCTAAAGATGCGTGCGATTAGAGTGGCCATGTGTTCATTGAGACGGACGAGCCGGGCTTGCTCAACTACTACAGCGTGTATGGGACGCAGCCCAACGGCAAGACCGTCAAGGCCGTCGCCTTTGCGGTGCAGCACAAGCAGTGCGCGCGGGTACTGTCGATTTTCCCGGAAAACGACTCGTTTTGACCGTCACTATGGTCCAGATTGCGCGGCTCGAAGAGCATTTGCAGTACCAGCGCATGGTGCAAACGCTTGGCACCATGGCCAAGACGCCGCGGCCACTTCAAACAAGAACGATGCGGCATTTTGCGGTCGCTGCGACAAGAAATTCCAAATCTTTAGCACCAAAAAGCACTGCGAAATGTGCGGCATCGTACGTGCCAAGCTACGCGATTACGTGTCCCTGGATGGACCTGGTCATATTAGGTCGTCTGCTCCGGCTGCTGCCAGAAGCACGAAGTCGCCTTGCAGCTCACGCCCTCGACGTACCTTGTGTGCACCTACTGCTTTACAAACGGTCGCGAGGTCAAGCCCCTCCCCACATCGCCCAGTACGTCCGATTTCAATGCAGTGTGGAGACGGCTGCTAACCTATTCTAGTGCGCTGTGGCGTCATTGCTGATTTTCAGCGGTCGTCGGCCGGCAGCCGCAGCGTCTCGCGCCGGTCCAGCGACACGTCGAGCATGTGCACGAAGCTGAGCTGGACGCACTCGGCCGCCAACGCAACACCAAGTGCCAGCGACGAGAAGGACAATTTCATCTTGCTGGATCTGACCAAGGACATTGAGAACCTCCGGTTCCACTTTTCGCCGCCGCCGCCGGGACGCCGGGAGAAATCCGCGTCGCTGCAGTATTACATGGACGCCGACCTCAAGCAGCCGCCGCCTGCGCGGCCCCATCGCGCGACGACCTACTCGTCCCTGCTCGAGTAGACACAACACCTTCCACTCTAATTCGAGTACACTCTTGTCTTCATCTGCCCTCGCATCAATATCGCTCATGAACACTCTACAGTCAGAGAGGGATTCCTGGGCCGTGTCGGGCTCGGCTTTAGAGAAATCCCCGTTCGCCACGTAATTAGCAACAAGCTATACAGGCTCCAAGGCAGCAGCCATAGCTCCCAGCCACTACAGCGTATATTGACTTTGGAAGCTCAGCTGGGAAGCTCCGTCGCTTCGCGAGCGGCGTACCACCATGCGACACACGAGTCTTCCTGCAGTGGACGCTGCTGTGCTAGCCGCAGCGTTGGCAGGCTACAGATGCCCATCTTGTTGGTCGTTCCACTGCATCGAAGCAACGGGTCATGAGACCCGCCTTGATGACCTTTCATTCTTGCAGAATGGTGGCCCGGTGCTTGAGCCTTGGCATCATTGCGATCTTCGGCGTGATTCCGCGGACGATCCGGATGGAGCAGCTGGCGATCGAAATATCTTTTGGCGGGCCACAATAAAATTCCGTGGCCGCCACGAGCCATTGCCAACCTTTGCCCATTCTTGCGATGACCCTCGGGAAGAGCGAGCTCGCCGTCGCGACGTTCGGCGTCGGCCTCGGTGTCGGCGTCCTCCTCCACAAGCTCGCGTCGGGCCCGCCGACGACCAAGCCCGTCCAAGGCACGAGCGAGGTCCTGCGCCTCATTCGCCCCAATGTCCTGCGCCTCACGCCGTACCGCTGCGCCCGCGACGACTACGACCAGGGCATTCTCCTTGACGCCAACGAGAACAGCCTCGGCCCGCCTTTGGCCGCCGAGCATGAGCTCGCCGGCGCGGGCCTCGAGCGCTACCCGTGCCCGTACCAGCGGGAGCTCAAGACGACGATCGCGCATTTCCGGTACGACGACTACCCTGCAAACCGCGTCCATTTGTAGTAATCTCTATGACAGGAACGGTGCGCACGGCACGCTAACGCCCGCCAACCTCTTTCTCGGCGTCGGCAGCGACGAGGTCATCGACCTCATGATCCGCATCGCGTGCTCGCCGCGCGAAGACGCCATCTTGATCACGCCGCCGACGTACGGCATGTACAGCGTTTGCGCCAACATCCACGACGTCGACATCATCTCGGTGCCGCTTGTGCGCACCGCGACGACGCCGCTGCCGTCGTTCCACATTGATCCGAGCGCGATCCTGCGCGCCGTGACGCCCCAGACCAAAATCATCTTTCTCTGCAGCCCGGGCAACCCGACCGCCAACTGCCTCCGCCTCGCCGACATCAAGGCCGTGCTGGAAGCCAAGGTTTAGCGCGATGGTCCTCTGCCGTGTCGCTCAGCCGTGTGTCTTGTAGAGCTACAAGGGCTTTGTGTTTGTGGACGAGGCGTACGTCGACTTTGCCGAGCAGCCGAGCCTGAGCACGCTCGTGACGTCGTACCCGCGGCTCGTCGTGGCGCAGACGCTCTCCAAGGGCTTTGGCCTCGCGGGCATCCGCCTCGGCATCGCGTTTGGCGATCCCGAGCTCATCCAGATCCTCAACAACGTCAAAGCGCCCTACAACATCAACAAGCTCACGGCCAAGGCACGCAATATGTCTCGGATGAATCTGACACACGCGGGTAGGTGGCGGCCGATGCGCTCGCCAACGTCGGTCTCTTGCACGACAAGGTCCAGTTGATTCTGGAAGAGAAGGCCAAGGTCATTGCGGCGCTCCAAGCGCTGCCGTTCGTGCACCAAGTGTACGCGTCGGACGCCAATTTTGTCTTGTTCCAGTGCGACAATGCATTTGCAGTCTACAAGGAAATGGCCGAAGCCGGCGTCGTGATCCGGTACCGCGGCAACCAGCTCCTCCTCGATAGCTGTCTCCGCGCGACGATCGGGTCGCCGTCCGAGAACGACCGCATGCTCGAGCTCTTTGCCTCAGTCTCGCGCCGGCTAGCCTAAAATAGCCACGCAGCTATGGCTGCAGTCGAGTGAAGGCGCCAGAGAGCAAGCAACGTTGACATTCAAGCATATAGTGGCTCGAAGCGCACCATGGAGCCAACTTCGATCTTAGTCGTTTTTTGATTTCGTCAAAGTGTTCAAGTGCTCGCGGACCATCTCGGCGATCTCGCAGTGCAGGACGGTGCAGAAGGCGCCGACGACGAGCCCGAGCACAAAGAAGATCTATGCATCAATTGTAGCCAAGGGAATACAACACTGCCCTTGCGAGTAGCAGAGGACGCGAGGGGATGTAGTACCTGCTCGCGGACGTCGTCGATGCAGACGCCAAGCGCCAAAGCCACACACGTAGACGCGACCGAGCAGGCGACGCGCACCACGAGCTGCCGCCGGCCCTTGTTCAGATGCCACGTCAAGAGCGGGATGGCCGCGAGCGCGTAGCCTGCCAACGTCCAGTACAAGACGCGGGAGCTACGCCGCGGTTAGCCTTGAATTGCAACGTAATGCGAGCGTACTAGAGGCCCTCGAGGACTGCGTCGTGCCACGACACCTACAGAGACGTGAGGTGGGTGGGTCGTGTCGCCGCGTAATACCTTGTCGAGGTCGTAGACGGAGCGAGCGGTCTCGATGTAGCGCGCCAGACGGTCCATGCTGGGGTTTCTTGGATATTTCAAGGGTGAAACAAGCTCGGTTTCGTCGGCGAAACGCTGAGCCACCAAGAGGCGATGGCGGCAACGCGCCGTGCGTGGCTCCCTCCCTACATTATGGTGATATTGTATCTGTGCGTAGGGCTCTCGATGCGTAGCAACGACGGCGATAGCTGGCTGCGTACGATGATGCTCCTTCTCCTACTGTGGCTCATGTGGGTTCTAGAGGGCGGTGGTTCGAACCCCGCGTCGCCGCTCAGCGCGTCCCGCAACTTTGATCCGGGTACGCACGGCGCTCACTGGCGTATGCAATGCAACGTGGCCACTGCAGAGTTTGATATCATGGACATTCTCGACTCGCGCGCGCCCGTGTTCCAAGTACAACCGTCTACGCCTCTCTACGTTATCTCAATTGAGGCGTAGTCGCCGGCCAAGGCGTCACTTGCACGCACGTCGTCCGGCGCCTCCATGCACCGCTCCGCGTCCGGAAGCCGTCTCGAGGTGAATGGCCTGAATCAAGACCGCAGGCTGGAGCAGCGTCGACTCTAGGACACGCGGTCGCAGCAGTCGTCGTCGCCAACGCCCAACGACGACGACGACGACGACGGTACGTCGTTCGACTGGTCGATCACCCCGCCGCCAATAAGTGTGGCCTCCGAGTCGCTGTACCATGACATCCAATCGGCAGTGGACGCCGTCGTGGACCGCCTCGCCCAAGAGTCGCCGGCGCAGTACACCGAGACCGATGGTTTGCTCAGCCGCCAAGCCGACGATACGACGATGCCGCAAAAGACGAGGCGCCCGAAGACGCAGGTGATCTGCTGCTCATCATGGAAGTCGTGATTGGCGACGGACGCACCGAGAACATCCACATCCACCGCCACGACCGCGCCGACGCATTGGCCTCGGCGTTCGCCCGCACCCACGGCCTCGGAGACGGCATCGTTCCGACGCTCATCGAGCACATTAGCCAGCAAGTCGCCTCGATGGGCTTGGCGCTCGCACCGATGACAGTCGCACCGACGACGACACCGACCATTGTGGAGGACAAGGAGTCGCAGTACCTCGCCATGATGGACAAGTACGCAGCGCTGCAGCGCCAGAGCAAAGAAGCTCCGAATGTCGCAGCCTCGGCGTTCAGCCAGCTCAAGCCCTCGAAACGCAAGGCCTCCAAAACCACCACGTCGACACCGGCGGCGTGCGACCGTCTTCACGCTCTCGCACGCACCCGCAGTGAGTGGCGCGCGCGGGAGCTCAAGCGCAAGGAGGACGACGTCACCCGCGAGATCGAGTCCCGCAAGCTGCGCCTCGCCGAAAAGTCCAAGGCGCTCGTTGCGAACCGCACGAACGGCAGCCACCGGTCGATTGGCGATCGGCTCCACAGCGAAGCGCTCTCTGAGGCCGCGCGCCGGGACAAGATGGCGGACGCGCGGCGGCGGGAGAAGGAGGCGCAGATCGACTGGATGTGTCCAAAGTGCGCGCACGTCAACAAGTTTGCTGACAAGACGTGCCAGAACCGAACGATCAAGAGCGGTCATCGCAAGACGACGAGCAGCAGCAGCAGCTCGAAGCCAAAAGGCGTCTGCGGCATGGCCAAACCCGTGCTCTTCACGCCGACCTTGCTCTCGGCCGCGCCGTCCAAGAAGGCCGAGGACTCGGAGCAGCTCCTCGTGCGACGACAGAAGCACCAAGAGATGGCCCAAGCGCTGTACCACACGACCCACACGTTTGCGCCGCAGCTCAATCCCAACTCGCAAGACATTGTGCGCGAGAAGCGCGGCGAGGCGCACGACGCCTACGCCTCTTTGTACGACGACGCGCGCACCCGTCGCCAAAAGCAAACCGAGAAGGAGGCTGCGTACCTTGCGTCGATTCCGTTCAAGCCCGACATTGGCTTGCACACGCCGGGCGGTGGCGAGCATTGGGTTGACCGCCTCGCGGTCACGGACAAGGCGGACGCCAAGCGGCGCGACTTGCTGGAGAAGTACGGTGCCGCCAAGGATCCGGTGACCGGGCGCCCGCTGTTCACACCGGACATTGGCCGCCCGCCGCAGTTCCCGCGCAACGACACGAAGCTCCCGATTGGCGAGTTTTTGTACGAGTCGCGCCACGAGGTCCGCGCGCTGCGGGCGACGCTCGAGGCACAAGCGGACGCGCGGCGCAAGGCGCGGCAGACCCAAAGCTTCCTCTCGTCCACGTCCAAAGCCATGCTGGAGGCGCGCAAGGCCAAGAGCTACGACGTCATTTATGGTCTCTTGCAAGTGGCGTGTGGCGAGCCCACCGACGCACCTGTCTTCGACCCGGCGAAGCTCCCGACCGACGCACTGCCGTCCGACTTGAGCCACATTGCATCGAGTCTCTTTGACGTCTGTGGGTTTGAGAGCATTCCCAGAGCCGAGTTCTTCAACTGCATGGAGACGACGCTCACGCAGTCGCCGGGCCTCACGCACACGCAAGTGCTCTTCTTCAGCGACAAGCCGCCGGCGACGTCAACGGCAGCGCTCGCGGCCGCCGCCGAGGCCAAGGAGCTCACGTTTCGCCCGAAAATCAACCCGGCGTCCAGCACGATCGAGCGCCGGGACAAAGATATGAGCGTCTTTGACGCGCTGCACCAGTATCAAAAGACATACGAAGCGAAGCGCAAGGCCAAGCAAGCGCAGGTGGACGAGGTGCGCAACAAGGCGTGTCCGTTTACGCCGACGCTTGTGGCGAAAAGCTCGCACCTCTACAGCATGTACGACAACCTTCCGGACGACGACAGCTTTGACGACGACGACGCGGTCATTCTCCAAACCTCCAAGCCCCTCGCGCGCCCTTATGTGCGCCCGCTCGACGAAGAGTGGCCCGTCGAAGAGCCGCTTTTGGTCGTGAACCGGTCGCCCGTCGGCCCGACGCGGCCGCAGCTGCTCATGTTTGGAGAGACGCCGCCTCTAGAGAAGGCTGCATCGGTCGAGCCGTCAGTCCAGCACCCGGTGGTCGGGGGAGATGGCAAGGACACTGCGATGGACGATGCGTACGAAGACGAGGACGATGCAGCGACCGAGATGGTGGCCGTGCACCCGATTCCGTCGCCGGCGCGCTGGGCGCAGCGAGTCGCTCTCTTGGGACCGATCCCGGAAGAGAGACCGCGCAAGGCGTCGCCGATGCAGCTGCTCTTTGGGAGTCCGACGAAGTCCCTGACGGGCGATGACGACGACACGTGCGACGAGGGTGGTGACCTAGACCCTACGACGACCAAAGACGCGAGTGATCGACCGCCCACCGAGCTGTCTCGGAAGGCAACCCACCTCGAGGCGAGCGCGTCGGAGTAACGTTTTTAAAATAAAAATCAAGTCGGTTGTCTTCAAGTTGGCGCCACATACTGGTGCGGTACAATTGGTGCTACATGGATCAAAATCGCTCCCGGTAGCCGGAGCCGACAAACATGAGTTTATATTCAAGACAATTTTGTGCCGTTTGTAAGACAATATTGTGCCGTTGGTGGGACAATGACGCGACGAATGCGAACAGCACATCTCATCTTTGCTGGCATCGTGTCTTGGAGTGTTGTTTGGTTGTTGGCACGACCTGCGAATGTTGGTCGATTGCGACATGTACTTGGCTAAGGCAATTGTTCCCTGTGATGAACCAATCACGGTGGGCGATTTCGACGCCGGATACGGCCAGTTTGTTTTTGACACCACCGCCAGAACAATGTGGGCGACGCTCGAGCGAGCACTGACGTCCAACGAGTCGGCGACCGCCAAGGCGCTGCGCCGCGCGTGCGAAGAAGGCGACGCCGAAGCAGCCCGTCGCCTTCTCCTGCAGGCGAGCCCTTTGGACATCACGGCGGCGGATCCGAGCGTACACCGAGCCACCCGGAATCTCTGCCCTCACCATCACTTCTGCATTAGACGGGGCGCGTGGGCCTGCACCTCGCCAGTATGAACGGATACGGGCGCGTCGTCTCGGCGCTGCTGCCGTTACTGGACGACATCAACCAGCGTGATTTTGTACGACCGTGTCCATTGCCTCGGGACGACCCTGTCACTCCTTGTGTAGAAAGGGTGCACTGCGCTGCATCTCGCCCTCGAGCATGGCAAAGATGACGTGGCGAGAATGCTTCTGCGCCATGTTGCTACTGATGTCAACGCCGCAGACAGCGTACGTTGTCGTCTTGGATCGCGCATCCTGACCGATCAACCGCGTAGCTGGGCGAGACGCCGCTCATGCTCGCGTGCGCGAAAGGCAAACCCGACCTCGTGAACGCTCTTCTAGCGTGTCCGTACATAGAGGTGCTCCGCTATAACAAGGTAGCACATGTACGGGAAGCCAAGAAACACTCACATCTCGCGGAGGCGGGCGACACGGCGTTGCATGTGGCCGCCCGCGTCGGTCGTGCCAACTGCCTTCGACTCCTCGTACGCGCGCCGGGTCTCACGGACGTCAACTGCCCGAATCTGGTTTGGCCGTCGAGATAGCATTCCCTTTTCCACTATAGGATGGTTGTGACGTAGATGAATGGTGAGACTGCGCTCATGGCCGCACACGCCTCGCACTATGCGACGCGCGCGCTCCTCAGCCACCCGTCGATCGACGTCAACCGCACCGACAACGTACATAGGATCTGCCTGGATCTCGTCGCTCACGCTATCTATGCAGAACGGCAACACAGCGTTTATGGTCGCTTGCTCGTACGACAACATGGAGACCCTTCAAGAGCTCATCAACGCGCCCGGCCTCGACATGAACCGCGCCAACCACGTACACACATCACCGCTTTTTACCATGGAATCAACGTCAGTGTAGAGCGGCCTCACGGGGTATGCGCTGGCCTGCCAAGCCGAGAACCCGATGCTGGCGGCCCACCTCTTGACGTTGGCGGGCATCGATGAGTGCCATGTCCCTACGGCCGTGCGTCTTTTTGCGATATTTCAACAGCAAGAACGCGTCGGTGACGGATAGGGCGGACACATTGCGCTGGCGGTGGCGAGTGCGCTGCACCGCGTCGAGTCGGTCCGAGCGCTGCTTGCGTCACCCGACATCAACCCCAACTACTGCGACGCCGTACGATGATATCTTGTTGAGAGTAGAGGGGACTGATGGAAAACGATCTAGAGTGGCATGACGGTCCTGCTGCAGATGTGTTTAAACTCGGGCAGCGAAGAGATTGTCGCCCTCTTCCTAGCGATCCCGACCATCGATACAAGCGTCCTGGACAAGGTAGACACTGCATTGGACCGCCACGCTGGCTAGACGCTCCGTCCTAGCACGGCAACTCGTGTCTGACGCTGGCGGCGCAGCAAGGGCACGCCGGTCTTGTCTCGCTGCTGCTTGGCCACGGCACCTTTGACGTCAATCATAGCAACAAGGTCCACGCCTACGCTTGATATATTGATACACTGATATTCTCTATATGCAGGATGGTCTTTCGGCGCTCATGATTGCGTGCGTCGCCAACGACGCTGCGATCGCGTCGCTCTTGCTGCAAGTCCCTACAATTGACCTCGCTCTGCGCGAGAAGCGCGTGCGTGATGACGCATGATGACGTGTCCACAAACGAACAACGTGTCCTTTGTTCGGTAGACTCAGCGCACGGCACTTATGCTTGCCAGCGTCCACAACGCCGGCGCCATCACAGCCTTACTGCTTGCGCACCCTCACCTCGTTGAACGGAATGCGACCGACCATGTAGGTCCCTTCAATGTGCGTCAATAGACAAAGAGACATGCTCTTGTAGACCCAGGCGACAGCACTTGTCTTGGCCGCACAGCACAACGCACGCGACGCTGTCCAGGCCTTTGCTTTGACCAGCACCGGCATCGACTTTGCTGCCACCAATGCGGTCTGCTTTCGATATGTCTGCACATAGACGATGTTCATCCTGCACATCTCTAGGCCGGCGACTCGGCGTTCCTTCTTGCAGTGGTCCACGGCTACATGGACGTGGCGCGCCACCTCTTGCCCTTCATTGATGTCAACGCCCCGCACCCGACGGTACGTCAGGATTCCACTGAAAAACGACGGCATGCGGTTGATAGACGGGCCAGACAGCGCTCATGCTCGCGTGTGCCCAGCCATTCCCGCGCATGATCGAGCTGCTGTTAACGATACCAGGAATTGCCATCAATGCCCTCGACCAGGTGCGCGATGTGGCTCGGTTCATTTTCGAAGCGATGTGGTCCTAGGCGGGCGAGTCGGCGCTGCTTGTGGCCTGTCGCTGGAACAACGTGGTCGCTCTGCAGCTTCTGTGTGCGCTGCCGTCGCTGGACCTCTTCGTGTGCAGCAAGGTTGGCGCCTCCGTTTGTGGTACTGGTAGATGAAGTGCTCACGGTGGTCCGTAGACAAACGCCCATGCGTTGGAGATTGCGGCGACCGTCGACAACCCGCAAGTCGCCGCGACGCTGTTCCATCGCCTCTTTACGATGCACATGCACCTTGCTCTTCCACGCGAGCTCGCCGAGATGATGGCAACCTTTTATGGCCCTCGATATTAGTGAAAACACCCGTACATATATATATTTGACCCTTTTGGGATATTTGAATATACCGGTAGTACAAGTGTATGCATGTATTCGCCTGGCCTTTTCTACACGGTACTAGGAAAATGCCGGAACGAACCCACTCCCCCTTTCACACTTCGAGACACCTCCTCCACCACACTACCATCAACCAGCTCGAACCAACTCAAAGACCCCGGCGCCTTCAACTTCGGCGCCTGGCCGGATGGGATGTGAGTGCTACAGCTGTTTCAACCACAGCGAGCACCATATGATGGACCGAAAAACATCTTGTCTCTGGTATGCTCGTCAGGGTTGGTGTTGTTTTTGAATTGGCAAAGTCAGTTCCCCACAATCGCATTGCACTGCGTTCCATCCGTCGGCGCCATGGAGCACCAGCACATTGACAAGGTCGCGTGCGTCGCCGCTTCAGAGCTTGACACCGCGTAGGTCGGCAAGTCGCACCTCATGATGGCCTGCGAGAGAGGCGACCTCGCCGAAGTCCAGCGGCTCCTCCCGTCAGCCCACCTTACAGCAACAACGCGCAGCGTACGCCCCATTACAGGGCTCTGCCTCTCACGCTCCCAAGCTGCATAGACTGGACAAACGGCGCTCCACGTAGCGTGTATTCAAGGCAGCGTCCCCATCCTCCGCGCCTTGCTCGAGGTCGTTCCGGACGTCAACGTCCGCGACAAGGTCCCGTGTGGGAACGAATTGTGATGGCCCTCACGCGCACGTAGGCTGGCGCGACAGTGCTGCAGTACGCGATCGTCAACCGGCGCGAGTCTGCGATCGCCGCGCTCCTGGACACGGCCGGCGTCGACGTGGACGCAGCCGATGCGGTACGTCTCGACGGCCAACACACGTAACCTGACCGCCGCGTCGTCGCGTAGTCGGGCAACTCGGTACTCCACTACGCGTGCAACTGCAACAACGTGGCCCTCGTCAAGGCGCTCCTTGCGCGCCCCTCCCTGGACGCCACGCGCTACAACAAGGTATATTCGACTTCATCGGACCGATTGCCAGTCAACGTCTCGCTGCAGAGCGGCCTCTCGGCCCTCCATGTTGCGGCGCAGCGCGGGTTTGAAAGCTGCCTCCAAGTGCTGTTCGCAGCTGGCGTCGTCGACGTCAACTTTCCCACGGCACGTGTCGACACGCGCCTTGCTGTATTAAAACGCTTCTAGGCGGATGGCCGCACGTGCTTGATGCTCGTCCAGAACGCGGTCGAGACGGCGCGCCTCCTTGTGGCGTACCCGGCGCTGGATGTCAATGTCGCGAGCAAGGTACTTGATAGAAAGCGGGGAAGCATCTGACGCAGTACGTTGGCAGGATGGCGCGACAGCGCTCGCACACGCGTGTCGCGGCAACCACGAGGACATGATTGCGTATCTGCTGACGATCCCACGTGTGAACGTGCACGCAGTACTATGCTCTGCGTGCATACGACTTCGGCTAAAGAGGGTTAGGGCCGCGTTTCACTCTTTGGCGAGGCGTGTAAAAACGCGAATGCGCTGCGAGCCGCCCAGCTCCTCGCGGCGCCAGGCTTTGACGAAGCAAGTGTGACCCCTGAGGTACGCTTGGACAGCACCCTCCCGCATCTCAATCGTTTACATACCAGTGCGGTCCGATCGCGCTCTCGGCCGCATGTGCGTTGCAGCGCGTCGAGCTTGTCGGTCGCCTCCTCGCCTCGCCACGAACCAACTACAACTACAAGGACAAAGTAATGCCCTTTTTTCATGCTGGAAAGGAGCGCGTGGAATACAAAGACGCCTAGAACGGACTCACCGTGCTGCTCCAAGTCCGCTTGAACCCAGCGACGGATCGCGCCATTTTGGAGGCGCTGCTTGCCATGCCTGATGTCGACACGAAGGCTGTCGACATGGTTGGTTGCCAAAGGTTGACGACAAGCCTCTAATTGTGTTGAACGATTAGAGTGGGAACTCATGCTTGATGGCCGCTGTCCGCAGCTGCCGCGTTGATCTTGTCCGCGCGCTGCTTGGGCACACAAAGATAAAAAGACCAACATCAATCACGCCAACAAGGTCCGTTTTTAAATGGACGGTCGACACTAACTTCTGCGTAGGCCCGCGAAACGGCCTTGATCTTGGCGTGCGAGGTGCGCAGCTACGCGATCGTGGAGCTCCTCCTGCAAGTGCCCGACATTGACGTCAACCACAAGTGCAAGGTAGGCGGCAACGCATTCTCATGCTCGTCAAGTATCGTATCGAGCAGGACTGGCGCACAGCGTACAAGGTTGCGAGGGCTGGTAAAGCCGGCGACATTCTGGAGCTGCTCCAGTCGCACCCAAAGTTTATCCCGCCCGCCGACGATGACAACGAAAAAATGTGTTGCGGCGTGGTCGCGATAGGCTGCCTTGGTTGCGTCGGCGGTGTCCTCGATGTTGTCACGAGCGTCTTCTTCTGGCTCTGGTGCTGCAAGTAACGTCATTCTGGTAGCCATCCGAAAACGTACTAAGGGCATCCACACCGGTTGGTCTTTAGTCCTAAGTCTTTTCCGGATAATTAGCGTAAAGAACGTCAAAGAACTGTATTTTAATCGAAATTCTTGGGGAAGCATAAAAATGAAGTCTTTTTCCCGCCACCGGTTGGTCTTTAGTTCTAAAGTCTTTTAGTGCTTTGCGATCGTGCTCGGTGCAACCAGCTCATCTGGGTCGACGACGACGAGGTGAAGCTCGCACGATATCTTGCGTGGCATGAGACTGGCGCATGGTGCAGAGGAGAAACGTTGGACGCCCGCGCTGGCACGCCGAAGGTCTCCAGGTCGACGACTCCAGCGCCTGAT